AAATGGGCCTCCTATGATGAGTGATTCAAATGATTTTATATCTCTTCCTTCCACTCTTCCTGTAAAATGTTTGTGCAGGTGTGTGTGAGGACATTTGGTGAACTGTAAAAGCACAGTGGAAAACTTACCTAAATCTCTTTGAAGTGGTCTTTTCCGCATCTTGTCCCAGAGTTCGTTAAATAAGAAACAAGGCCACAGCTTTCAGAATGGAGAGCAATTTGGGGGTCATTCACAAGTTTTACATGGGAGGCTTGGATAAATGATCACATCTCCTCTGCCTTTAACCACAAATGTATCAGTTAAGACCAGTTAGCCTCTAGCTCAGGGGTGCATGTTCTGGACATATGTCAAAGGATCCTGTTCTGGTTCAAAGTAGCCTGCAGAGGTGTGGTTTTTTTCTTTTTAATTAGTTCAAGGTCCCAGAGAGATGCCTCGTCTATACTAGCTCTTAGAGCTGATCTAGGATTCCAGTTTGGCTGTAACAGTAATAAAACCACGCGTTTTCATTAACTTCTTGCAGTCTTCTGGGTTGAAGCCAGTTGGAGAAAATCCTGGGAAAATCCTGCGATTGGACTAATACAATGGCTCTTCCCTTTGAGCGGCAGTTCCTTGAAGTTCAATTTCATGTTACTGTCTATGGGTAAAGGTTGCTGTTTATACATCAGCATATAAGGAATGTTTTGCGTTTCCTTTTGCTCACACATTCGGTGGGAGTCCTCTTTCCGAATCGTCTGCACTTCAGAGATTGCGTCTATGCTTATTCCAGCATGCAAGAGGATTGCTTATGAGTCCCTTGAGATTACTGGGCTTCTGGATTCGATTCCTCGTGTGTGCATTGCCTAATGAAAACTTTGGTATATATTTCCACATTTTTCTTTTTGATTATCCATAACACAAGAAGCAAGAATTCAGGAGTTTACCCATGTATTTTCCTTTGCCACAGCTTATTAGTTTCTCATTGTAGCTGCTGTGCTTTCTCCTCCCCGACAGAGTTAGTGTGGGAAACTCACAGAGGCACTTCAACCAATGCTAAGAGAAGCAGCAGCCAGGAGCGTAAACAATGTATAACTTTTGGTTATTGCTGCATAAGACCTCTTTAAAGTGTTGAAGAGCAAGGGTGTCACTTTGTGGACAAAGGTGCACGTGACACACGCCAGGGTATTTTTCACTCACCTCTGATGCCTGTGGAAATTGGACATTGAATCAGGAAGACCAAAGAAGAATAAATGAATTTGAATTACAGTGCTGACAAAGAATATATATATAATTTTATTGGGGGCTCTTACAAATCTTATGTCAATCCGTCATTCGACTGTATGAAGCACACTTGTACATATGTTGGCATCAACATTTCCAAAACATTTTCTTACTACTTGAGCCCTTGGTATCAGCTCCTCTTTTCCCCCTCCCTCCCTGACTCTCTCACCCTCCTGAATCCTTGATCGACTGTGTATTGCGGTTGTTATTTCATGTCTTACACTGTCTGTTGTCTGCCTTCACCCACATTTTTGTTATTAGTCCTCCTGGGGGGTGGGCTATATATCCAACCTTGTGTTGGGTTCCCCCTTTCTCCCCCTTCCGCCCCCGTGCCCCCACCATTCCCCATACACTCATGATATCACTACTCCCACTACTGTTCCTGAGTCTTTTATCTGTCCTGAATTTCATGTGTCAGGAGCTCTATCTGTACCAATGTGTGTACTTGGGTCTAGCGGGATTTGTAAGGCAGAACTGGGTTATGGTAGTGGGGTAGAGGGGTGGGGTGGGGAAGAAGCATTCAGGAACTAGAGGAATGATGTGCGTTTAGTCGGTGGTATACTGCACCCTGGTTGAATCGTCCCTCCTTGTAACCCTTCTGTTGGGGGAGGTCCAATTACTGACAAAGAATATTGACCATACCATGGATTGCCAAAAGAACAGACATCTGTCTGGGAAAAATGCTCTTTAAAAGCAAGAAGGGCGAGATTTGATCTTATGTACTTGGGACATGTTCTCAGGAGAGACCAGTCCGTGGAAAAGGACATCCTGGTTAGTAATGTAGAGGGGCAGCGGAAAAGGGGAAAACCCTCCACAAGCTGGGTTGACACACTATGAGTCAGAACCTCCTCAGCGACACTTGACAACAACGTTGCTGCCAAAATAAACGATGGCAAAGTTAGGGACTTAAAACATTACAAATATTCTCTCACAATTCTGAAGAGCAGACGCCTGCAATCCCCTTCACTGGCTGAGACTTGGTGGCAAAGCTGCTTTCTTGTGAACATTGTGAAGGGATGCTCCCCTTCTCGGGGACCTTTTCAAGATCTGGAGGCTTCGTGTAGTCCTTGGCTTGTGGTGCCTTTTTCTGTCTCCGAAGCTCATCATTCCAATGTTTGCTTTTATCATTATACTGCCACCTCCTCTGGCTGCAGCCAATCGCTCTGCCTTCCTCTTATAAAGACAGTTATGATTGCATATAGTGCCCTCCCAGATGATCCACGATAAGAAGATCCTTTACATCATAATCTTATTTTCAGGTCTCTGGCCATATAAGGTAACAGTCAGAGGGTTCCTGGATTAAGATGTGGATATCTTTGGGGACCATTATTCAACCTACCACACACAGATAAACAAGTATCCCAAATTCCTAATTCTATGGGCTTTCTTTACCGAAACTTTAACAGAGTTGCTAATAGGTAATAAATGTAGTTCTTGGATTTTACCTTCCTTTTGTCTCTCCCCAAAGGTACCAAAGAGTAATACAATAACTATAGACAGGTAAATAAAAGATGTGAAAAATAAAATAGAGAAGGATATTTTAAAGTTGATTGATAATTTTCTTTTTTAAGAATAACAAATTCACAAGATAACGAAATTTTCTGATGGCATTGTCTGTGATTGTGTGTGTGTTTTGGAGGGGGGTTATGTTGAAAGGAACTCTCTTATCTAATTATGCAGTTTCTGCCATGATTGTTTCTGTGTGTATTCTATGGACTATTTTGTTTGTCTTTTTCGAATGCACAGGTAGCAGATGTCCTTCAGTTTTCTATAGAAACAGGGGGCTTTCTTCCAAATAGCATCAGTACGTTGCAGGAAAGTTTAATCAGACACCTTAAGGTAGCCCCTAAACATGTCTCTTTTCTAGAACAGAGGCAAAAACTGACTCAGGTGAGTGTTGAAAGATGTCCATTTATGACATTACTTTTTTCCACATGTCTTCTCAGTAGGATTACCAACCTATTATAATGAGCAACTGCCATGTATAAATATAAGCAGTGGCAATTTTTTTATAATAAACTGCATCTATTTATTTATTTATTTGGCCTGGACCATTGCGCTTTTATTTATTTATTTTAATAATAATTTTATTGAGGGGGCTCTTACAAATCTGTCAATCCATCATTCAATTTTTTTGCCCCGCCATCATCATTCAATTGTATTAAGCACACTTGTACATATGTTGCCATCAGCATTTCTAAAACATTTTCTTTCTACTTGAGCCCTTGCTATCAGCTCCTCTTTTCCCCACTCCCTCCTTTGCCACCCCACCCTTGTGAACCCTTGATGAATACTGTTGTTATTTCGTTTCTTACACTCTCCTTTGTCTCCCTTCACCCACATATCTGTTACTCATTCCCCTGGGGGATGGGTTATATATTCAACTTTGTGATGAGTTTCGCAGTGGCAAAATTTTAAGTTGTTCCAAATGGAAAAAGTTTAGTTGGGGTTTCACGTAGATCTGAATCCAAATTTGTTTGTTGTGAGTTAAAAAATACTCTGAAATAAATTTTCAAATTGGGATGTGGGATTTTTTTTTTAAATCATTTTATTGGGAGCTCGTACAATTCTGAGCACAATCCATACATCCACCCATTGTATCAAGCACATACATACACTTGTTGCCATCATCATTCTCAAAACATTTGCCTTCTATTTGAGCCCTTAATATCGGCTGCTCATTTCCCCCCTCCCTCCTTATTACCCCTCCCTCATGAACCCTTCATAATTCATAAATTATTATTATTTTGTCATA